GAACAATGACGCCGGACAAAGCAATGGAGGGCGTCGGCCGGCAGCGACCACTCCTAGACCGCAGTAAGTATACTGAAGGAATCCGAACGGAGGAAGAATATTGAAATTTAGTAAGGGAGTTACGTACCAAGGTAGATTTGCAAACAGCGTGGGCGGCTGGGGTTGGCATAACTGAGCCAGGTTGCAGGGGCGGCTGGAGAAAGCCGATGGTTCGGTAAACCGTCAACAGCAAATTAGTATGCCGTGTCAGTATGAGTTGAATCCAGAAGAATCGTCGGCAGTAGAATGAGGGTCAGAGATTGGGAGGGATATCTGGGTTTTGGCGCCCATAAAGGGACATCTCTGTCTGATTGGGAAGTAACCGTGGTCTGGGCTGAATGGGATGTGAGCGGTTGAAGATCTCGACCTCGCCTCACGACAGGATATCGAGGCAGAAAGTCTCCATATCGCGGCCACATCAGATGACACAGGAAAAACTCAATTGAAGACGAGGGAGTTTTGAAAATGATTGACATCAACCACATCAGAAATTACGTCTGCAGATCACCAAATACGCAGGGACACGTTGGAAAGTCGCGAAATACGCAGGGGAAATCACAAAATACGCAGGGACACGTCGGAAAGTCAAAAAATACGCAGGGACAGCAGGCCACATCAGAAGTTGCGTGTTCAGATCACGTCGGGCGGTCACCAATATCGCAAGGGGTCATCGTAGCGGTCGGCATTTGTCGAAATAATACATAGAGGCGAGGGCATATCATAGTGGTTTAAGTAAAACCCTTGCCGCTGCGGTCTTTTGGCACACAGACTTGGGTCGCTACAAGAGGACCCAATGGTCGATAACACGAAGGCTCTATCGCAGGGGGTTGAGTATGTTAAACGCTAGAAACTGCATTCTTCAAGCCAGGTTCCTTAGGTATAAGAGAAGTCATGACAGGCCAGAGTGGTAGGAACAGTTTATTCTGTACGGAAGGAAGTGGAAAATAGGCATGACAAATTTGACTGTCAGACGAGCGAGCAACTGCCGACTAGAGCGCCACGCCTAGGGTGAAGTGAGCGTGTGGGATTCTAGGAAGTTCGGGACATGTATTGTTCCTACAGCCAATCAGAAAATGGGTCACACTGATTGGTGCGAGCTCTCGCGAGGGTAGATCAAGACTAGCGAGGCTGCGGCCGGACCTAGCATTGCCAGCGTGGGTGCGCAAGCCTTCGTAGGCGAAAGCACGATGAGTCAGCCCAGTACGGCTGATCACTGGTTCCCAAGTGGGCCCCTGAAGCTCCTATTTCACAAGTCAGGGAAGACTGCTCGAGGTGGACTAACTTGTACTGAGAGGAACGATGCACAGGCAGCTCAGCAAATAGCCACCGTGGCCACCACCACCGGCGCGTGCGTGTGTGCTCTATTGCCTGCAGCCAGTCAACGACGGGATCACCATCTGTAGTCAGCCCGGGAAGAAAGACTGCCTGTACCAACGTCTTCTGATGACAAAGCACTGGATTCGCCAACCGAATAGCCACTATCTCGGCTGTTGAAAACATCTGTCGACGTATGCACTTAGAGTAACGTTTTGGTACCCGGTATACAATCTGAGAGGTTCTTTGGCCTCGACATGGTCGCTCGTATGTATAAGACGTGCGAGAATATAATTTGAAATCGGCTTTCCCCTTACCTTCTATTCTAGCTAGTACGCGTTCGCGTACGCTTTTTTCCAGACG